CGGTATCATACCAATACCATAACAAAATCGGAGCCAGCTGCATATGAGCAACTGATGAGCTCGACAAATTTTACCAACACGATGTCACACTAATCACCGTCATAATCCGTCCATACTGCGAGTGTCTTCTGCTGCTCTGTGTTTCGATTCTATCTCTTCCTCATTTTTCACTTCTTCTCTCACCAAATGATCAGCAGAGCTACTCCGTCTCACTGCTGGTCGCTCATTTAGGACACTGCTGCGTTTTCGGACGAAATGTTGGCTCAGGAGTATCCTCTGCTGCTGTCGAATAAGCTAAGAACAGAATCAACATCATAGCATGTTGAACTAACGGGGGAGACCAGGCCACAAGTATACGATCATAATGAGCGTATGCATATTAAAATCTCTTCCGCACGGTGGAGAATACCAGTCAAAATGTACTTCAAATTTCACATCGAAAGCCTCACAATTAGTGTGACACTCCTAAAGGTGCTTCACCCCTTCCAGACTTGACACCCAACTGACCTGTTGAGCATAAGCTCCTCGGCCTTGCACCTTGATAGAGGAAGCCCTTGGTCCTGCCTTCTCGAGAAGTCTTGGTTGTCGGAGTGTTGGTATCGATAATGGCAGCAAACCTGTCTGCTTGTATTTCACTGCTTCGTTATATACCGGACGACTAATCATAATACATCGTACCTGACAATTTACCTCAATAAAGAACCACGAACATTCTATATATATACAAGTGAACGACCGACAGAGAGAAATAGTTGTCACATTTAGCACAAGTACTTGTATTATATATTACATTAATACTGGTATTAATACTAGTATATTAATACTAGTATTATATAGTGCAAATACTAGTACTTGTACTTGATGCTGAACGGTTCACACTAAAGTGTGAAGCTTTCAGCATCAAGACACTTCTCAGTTGCGGAGCAAAGTTTATATTGCAGTTAGCCGTAGTTCGTGCGAATGCGTACGTCTCTCTGAATGCACGAACGCGAGCGCAAATCCCGACAAAATATAGCGATTTTCTTAAAAATCACAGTACCCTTTCCATACTACTTCTCTATATAATCGACTCAGAATATTGCAACTCAATAGAAAAATTCCGAATGTGCACACACCATCTTAAGTAGCTCAGTAGGTCAAAGTTCCGGGTTGTCACCCGAACCACTCCGGATCGAATCCCCCATCCCACTACTCTATGAGCTTGCAAATAAAACTTTCTGACAATCACATAATCTTCGCCATTTCGCACCGAAGATCTAGTAACTCATAGGAACGAGTATAAGCCTCCAAATTTCCAATCCATCGCGGCATGGTTTTGGCATATACCCATCAAAAACATGATACTCACTTTTTCACTGCCGACTCGAGCGGAAAAGTCGGGAGTGTATCCGTTGTCAAGGAGCGCTTCTACCGCCAACACAGAGAACGCGCCGGCCTCAGATCTGAGATACAGAGTGCTCCAAAGAATGTGCTATTGTCTGGATGGCACTAGGCATCATGGAGTATATTTGGAATTCAAAGATCTTTCTATTGAGCTACCTCTCACTGGGAAATTCGGTGAATTCTGCAAGTTACCGACAATACCACAGTTTATTTGGCGACACCCTGTACTAACATTACGAACGGTGATCAGCAATGATACCGAGCTGATCTATTCCCGATGGAGTGCATGAAGATACACCTTAGAAAACAAACGATAGGAACGTAGCAAGTCATTTTATATAGTTCATGAAAATATTCCCAATAGTCAACAACAAAATGTATGAATACAGGTATACTACTACCTGAATTTATCATGACCAGCAAGTACTGCAAGTCGACCTGTAAGAACTATACAGCAAACATCCGTCTCCACTCCTCGGTGGTAGATACACAAATCGTCCCTAAAACCCCATACACCTCACTCTGCTCACAGAGAGAGATATCACTCACCCTTCAAAAGAGCGAGGAGAATTGCCACCACTACTCTGGCCTAGCGTGCTTTCTATTCGTATAGCTGCGTTCGTATCGAGTAGTCTCATCTTACTAAGATGTTGATTGTCATAAGTATGCACCTGAACATGGGCAGGAAAGTCGATTCCTATTGAAGACATGCTTATTCTCATGTTTCGATACCGTTTTAACCAGCGTAAAATATTCCGATCGATTGGCGTTCATAATCGATACGATATTAACATGCCATAAAATCATAATTCCAAAGAATTCCGAGGTCGTAAGTAAAGCTATGAACCAGAAGAGCATTTCATTGGAGGGCGCGCGTCACCTCAGCATTTTGCAGCATCCACTCCACACTTTTTTCGTCCAAATGCTGCGATAAACTCGGCTGATTATGCAACTGAGGAAACGAACAGGAATAAGACAAGAATTAACAAGAGCGATAATTAGTGACAATTGTGGTATTTGTTGATTAAACTTACCAAATGGAGAGATAGAGCTCTTATCTCATCAGCGGTCAACGGCTCCTCTAGCAGCTGTGCATTGAGCAAGCGAAGACGCTGCTCATTGAGGCCCGAACGGTCACCAGGAACTTCAACACGATTATCGACATCTACGTATCTATCACGAAAACTCCTTTAAATACACAACAACAAAAAATTATAAAAATCTGTGGGATCAATCTCAAGTTCACCAAAACTCTACTATTCAACGCGCAATCTCCTACACATCAGTTTCGTCTATAATCTCTTCTTGTATTATTTCCTCCACAATATCTTCCAAAGTGAGCACCCCAACGAGCTCAATATCAGGATCATCACGACCGTTCTCCATCATACTCGAGGACTGATGATGACCACCATAACCATCATAGGACAACTCAGATTCTCTTTACTTGGGTAGTATTCGTTCCTCCACTGTTGTATTTATGTAGAGCAGGAGAGCCTACCAAAACAACACTTCCTCCGACATCAAGCAAACACCACCTCAATGCTGAATACGTGTGCACTAACAATAACATATGGCTATGATCACAATATCATCTGCTAGGATCAGAAATCAACATCCAGGCGATCTCATCTCCTCATAAAAGCAACGTTAAAAACTCTGTATAAAGCGATCAATATTAATATACTTATACCAATATACAGCAATGGAGTTTCACCCGTTTTACGTGAAGTGGCGTAAAACTCGGTGAAAAACTCGCGAAATTCGCGCTATGCAGTGGTCGCGAAATATATTTTTCACTAGTGTTTTCCATATCACTAGGGTGAAACTCCGATAATTCCAGGATGATGTTAAAACTATATATACTTATGATATACATAAAACCATATACGACCACCGCTACCATTTTCTTACCTTTTAAACTTCGCTTAGCAGATCGTCCAGTGTCTGCCGGTGCAACCTGACACAAAAACTTGTCTCCGATCACAACACTCCATCCCACCTTTCTGACCAATCCCATATGACTACCACCCGATCTGAACCTTCTGAACGCACTGCTAACACTCTGATTCTCCTCAAGCACTTCCATAGAGCGAGCAAAGATCTGCAGGAATGCTGATAGTGGCGTAGCGTCGTCCGGATCCACAAGAATGAGGTCTTTCGTGAAGAGCACCCCTACAGAGAAACAAACCAATACTGTGAATATCACCGCTCGCTAAAATACCTATAATATATTACTATGAAATCAAGTTGTTCTCTACCAAGGACGAATCACATATTTCAGATATGTAATTGCGGAGCGAGCGGAGCTCATGTTACTGCGCACCAACACTCATGTCCGTCCGTCCGTGAGTGAGTGAGCAAAAACTCCGACCCGACCAGGGCGATTCAGAAGACAAACAGGGTATCATTCTGTCCCCCGTTGACTCCTCATCAGCGTAAAAATATGTCATCGTTAGATGTGAATTGATACAAGCATGCATAGAAAACACATCAGGCTCGTTACGATCAGTCTCAGTCAGTGTATGCACGTGATCAACTACATGTGTTGCTAGGAAAATGGAAATTTGGAGGAATTTTTAGAACTTATCGTTGATTTTTGTATACTTATACCCAAAATCGTGTGATTCTTCATAGTATAGTGAGGAAACCTACGAGCCCAGTTGAGGAAACCAAACATATATTCCCGTACTGGTCGCAGTTGTCGGGCGAAATGTTTTACATAGCTATTACCAACGATATTGTTCATCGTCCCACTGTACACCGGTATACGAGAGAATCCACATTGAAAAATCTGAGTAACAGTCTTGTAGTCCAAAACTGCTTCTATAGGCAGCATAAACACATCTTCAACCGGCGTCATAATCTGATAGAAAAATTGTAAAATTGACCATAACACCAAGAGGCTACTACTCGCGACCTTACCTGAGAGACCTTCATCTCATGCAGAGTCTTCAAAGCTCCTTGCATCACTTTGCCCGTCTCGTCATCTAGGGCTTTCTCATCGACATGAATCGCCAACAACTTCAATAACTCCTGAGGAACATCACCAGTGCGAGGAAATATGCACATGGTCAAACACATGTGTTGGTGACAATATGAAAATTCTGAGGAAATTTTGGGAAATTGTAACTGGCTCGTGTACATTTTTACCCAAACTTTTACGATTAGTGAGAAAATGACCATATATTCCAACACTGATATGAAAAATAGAAGCACGATCGTTCCCGCCAACGACGAGCATTCAACCGTTCACACTAGTATGGGAAAAATCTGTACATGCCCAACTACGATATGAAAATTCCAATAAAATTTTGAAAAAAAATCTGATTGGTTTCCGTATAATCCTACCCGAATTTTTATGTGAAACTCTTGAGCTCAGCTGAAGAAAATTGAACATATATCCCAACACAGCTTCACGTTAAACAGAGAAGATGAAAACAAGGCCGTCCAAGAAAAAAGGCTACTACAAAGGTAAATTTCAAATCACATCGGCCAACAACCCTTAACACGTTCAATACTCACCGAGCGTGAATGTATAGTACCAACGTCACGACCCAGAATACAATCTAACGCCAATGCTATAGGCCTGAACAACACATATAAAATAATCCTCAGAACTCCTTACATGCTTACTTAGCGATCGGATATAGCAGGACAATGCAAACTCGCACTACCGGAACCGCAAATCCGCCAATTTTCAGAGAATAACGCGAACACAGCGCCTGATAAAAATCACTCTTATGAGAAAACTCAACCACGTACCTACCTGCGGCAGTATCTCGCCGAAAAGCAGGATAACTGCAGTTGAAATGACGAAGCCCAAAAGGCCACCAGTGATGTCGGCCATAATAATAGAAAGTAGCGAATTCACCGCAACATTTCCCAATAGTAAAGTGCCTGCATACGAGAAACTACATCAGGTGATATTCCTGGAGTTTAACGCGAAGTGACATATTACTCCATGTTGAACATAAAACGCGACCAACAACACGATAAATTTTCCACGGGAAAATATTGTGAGATACGTTTTTTCATATCACTAGGGTGAAACTCCATTATATGGCTGATATTGTTATGAATTCTTTCATAACAAACTCCTATTCAAATAGCTTATACGACGAAGCCTCGCTAGTAATGGAGTGATTTCAGACACACCATGTTAATTATAATCGCAGCATAGACCAAGACACCACGCGGTAGATCTTCACTATCGCACGTCCCGACTAGTAAAACTTTGTAAATATGAAGTAGTTGCAGTTTCACCCGTTTAACATGAAGTGGCGTAATACTCTGCGGAAAAAACGATATTCGCAGCGCTATACAGTAGTCGTGAAATATACTCTTCACTAGTGTTTTTCATATCACTAGGGTGATGAGATCGTTCCATAGTAAAAATGCGCATTCCATAAGTTTCGCATTTCGATGAACTTCATAGCACCCTACATAGCAACAAATTGCCATCCTTCCGTATTGGTATTATCCTTTTCGCATACTTAGCTTGCTTAACGTTAGCGCCTGCCTTGACGATCTCCAAACCAACTTTATCAAGCGATAGAAACCCCAGTGTGAGGCCGGAGAACATCGCTGAAAAGTATCAATTCGATCACTATCTCCAAAACACATGTCGCACTTACACGCCTCGTTACGAGAAAATCCAAAGTATGAATAAACTCCATCACCAACAGCAATGCTAAAATACTAAATTCTTGGACTTTACCATTGGTGTATAAAACAACTATCATCACTGATGATATGTTATTACGTAAAAAGTCGTTGAAAACTCATAAACGCAGTGTTAGAAGAATATATATTCGCTCTCCTCAGCCAAGCTCAGGAGTTTACTCACTAATAGGACTTTACATACCAATTAGGGTAGAAATATTTAGAAACTATTTAAATTTTCCCAAAATTTCCTCAAAATTTTTTTATTGTCAACAACACATGTAGTTGACCATGTGCTTATCACCCAACGCGAATTTTCTTCCGACTACTTCACAAAAAAATGCCTTTCACAATCCTATGCTTACCAGAGCATAAGACCAGGAGCACAATAAGTGCCCATTT